GAAAGGAAAGGAAAGGAAAGGAAAGGAAAGGAAAGGAAAGGAAAGGAGGAAGAAACAAAGAGAGGGAGGGAGGGAGAGACTACTGACCACAGAATGGGAGAAATTATTTACAAATCATATATCTGATAGAGGGCTTGTATCCAGAATGTATTTTAAAAGTCTTATAACTCAATAATAAAAAGAAAAAAATTTAAAGTGGACAAGGGATTTGAAAAGACATTTCTCTCAAGAAGATATGCAATTGGCCAATAAGGACATGAAAAGATGTACAATATCATTAGTCTCAGAAAAATGCAAATCAAAAGCATTTCCCATCCATTCAGATGGCTACAATAAAAGAGACATATAATAAGTGCTGGTGAGGTTGTGGAAAAATTGGAACCCTCATCCTTTGCTTGTGACATGTAATTTGCTTCATGTGAAATGGCACATATATATATATATTTTGAGTCAGAGTCTCGCTCTGTCACCCAGGCTGGAGTGCAGTGGTGCAATCTTAGCTCACTGGAACCTCCACCTTCCGGGTTCAAGTGATTCCCCTGCCTCAGCCTCCTGAGTAGCTGGGATAATAGGCATGTGCCACCATGCCCAGCTAATTTTTGTATTTTTAGTAGAGACACGGTTTCACCATCTTGGTCAGGCTGGTCTCGAGCTCCTGACCTCAAGATCCATCCCCCTCGGCCTCCCAAAGTGCTGGGATTACAGGCGTGAGCCACCGTGCCCGACCTAGATTATATTTTCAACTAGAGATTATTTACCTTCCTATTTACTGTGCAACATTAAAGAGATTTTCCTCCTAACTTAAAAAAAAGTTTAATTTTAATACTATAAAATTCAAACATATTATTTCTGGAATATTCTTTGAGTCCTGGGGATCTTAAGCATTTTATAGTTCTATGCCAAAGTCCTACTTAAACAGACTATATAATTTGGCTTTAAACCTAAAATGTCATTTTACATATTGTCAGTGGTCACCCTGGCCAGGGTTCGCTCTGTTAAGGCAGATCTTTCGTGGTACAGACAGCAAGGACTGGGGACCTGAACAGTAAAGCCTTCACATTAATCTTCCAGGGCTGCAGCCAAACCACACGGCTTTGCCCGAAGTGGTCAATATAAAAATTTTATTTGTAGTTAGTGACTCCTGAAAATGTATTCAAAATGCACTCTCTTGGTCTCTTACCATGGCAGGTTAGAAGCTGCTAAGACAAACACGAGATCTTCTGAGCGCGCCAGCCCATCCATTTGCACCAGTAACTCTGTCTTCATCCGCAAGCTTCCTTCATGTTCTCCCCTACAGAGAGACAAGACGTGATTCTCGCAAGTGTCAGTGCCTTTGCCCTCATGACAAGAGCAGCATTCACAGCCACGTCCCTGTGAACAGTGTCTGTTCTGATGGTTAATGAAGCCACTCATACTAGAGTTAGAGAAAACAAGCAATTTGGTGTTATTTTCACATACAGCATAATGGAAAGCAAGTAAATGAATATAATGATGGTATTTAAAAGAAAACCAAAGGCTGGCAGTGAGTTGGAAAATAACTGAAGGGTATGCAGTGCCACTGGTAGATTAAATGCAGCCCAACTGTGTCTACCTGCAGCATTATTTACCTCTTTAAAATGGCATAATTGAGGATAATCCCTTTCACTTACATACACACAGAAAACTACTTTCACACCCTCAGCCTCCTGAGTAGCTGGGACCTCAGGCACAAGCCCGGTTTAAGATATCTCTGGCTAGGTATATGGTTTTTTTTTTAGGATCTATGCCCCTTAAATCTCAACTGCCTTTCCTAAGAGAGAAGACCCTCTCTCAGTATATATATAATATTTATTTATTATATATATTACATATATATACTATATATAATATACCTATACTGAGAGAGGGTCTTATATATTATACTTATATACTTAGCATTAGTAATAATATATAAAATTAGCATTTGCCCATATATTTGCTATATATTTAATTAGCATTTGTGTATAACTATGAGTCCTTTAAAATAATACGATCAAAGAAGTCTTCAGAGCACCCATCCTTATTTCCTGACCCTTTGAAGACTCTAAGTTCAGAGTCTTTGATCCCAGACAAGGAAACAGAAATTCAGGGCAGAACCTGGAACATACACAAGGATAGCAGATAAAGAGTTTTCTAATTAGCCAGATGAAGGCTGTGGGAAACTGGGGATATTGACAAAGCACGTAAGAACAAGTGCATAGAGAGACCTGGTCTTTGTAGAGTGACTACGAGGGCAGGCTGGTGCATTCTCATCTGGGTGCCTGTGCAGTTGCCTGCTTTTGTCAGGCCTGGTATAGAAAGCAGAGCACTCCAGCCTAGGGCTGACAAGCACCAGCTCCAGTTAAGCCATGGAAAGTGTCCCGTTTCAATGAATTACATGAATTCCATATTACTTGAGTACATCTTTATGGTTGTTTTTCCCTGCTGGGAAAATGGTTTCCAATGAGTAAAATTTCATAAATTATATTCTAGTTATACTTCCAATGAGCTAATTAATTGCTTTTTATTACTATTACTTCTGCTTGTTGATAGACCATTAAAGGTCATTAATAAATACAGCTGTGTTGAGATTTCCCAGAGATCTGTTTTTTCAAGCCAGGGGGTGCCAGATTTAGTAAAAAGCTTCAGTGGGAATACCTCTGATCAAGACAGAAAGCTGATCTTAAAAACAAATGAACAAAAAGCACAACACTACTCAGGCTTTTGGAAGCACAAACAGAAGGCTTAGTACAGTCTGAGAAGTGTTCCTTCCTGCTGAGGACATTTGGTGACACTCAATCTTTAGAGATAATATATGTGACGTATTTAAAATTAGCCCTGCTGAGCCATAACCTGATGCCACAGAGAAGTGGTGGCTTCCCAGGCTTCACACACTGTCGAGGACTACCTCTCAGGAGTGAAGTCCAGACGTGGCCCTGCACAGCGGCCAAGTGGGCAAGCCTTGTTCCCTGGTGGCAGCCCCTCTGGCTCCAGAGGAGGCCATCACAGTGGCTATTTTTAGCCATCAGGACCGATATGGCAGCCTGGGATCCTGGAGCTAGAGGATCTTCAGGCCTGAAAACCACTCTGTGGGGAGCGGGGGAAGGGAGGATGGCATTTCCTCCGGTTATAAAAACTACTTAAATCAGCTATTCAGTTAACAGGATCTAATTTAAAGACCTTTCCATGTGTCTGCAGAAAATTTGTGGGCTTATTAATAGGTTCATTCTGCTGGTAAATGTCGATGGGCTTCCGACCATCAAACACACTTACAAGAGGGGAGAAACGATGACAAAAAACAACAACAACAAAAACCCCGATGCTGGCCATTACCCAGGAGCCGTGCCTCTCTGACTCATCACTGACTCCAACTCGTCCAGGAAGATCGTGGATGGGGCGTGGTAACGGGCAAGTTCAAATAACACCTGGGTGGGGGAAAAGCAAGGAAATGTTCAAGCTCATCGATTTAAAGTCCTCAGATGCTCCCAGAGAGTAAAAGCTTAGAATGACTGTAATGATAGGCATTTATGCTGCACTCTGTTATTTTGCAATAGCTTTATAATCATTACAATTATTTCTCCCTACCTCTACCCCATGGGGTTGGATGGTCCAATTATTTCCACTTATCACTTGATAAAATTAGAGGCAAAGAGAGGGTGGTTACTCCAAGGTTACTAATCATAAATATGAGAGCCTCAGATAAAATTTGGTTCCAAGGCTTGCAGTCAGCTAGTTAACTCTTGAAACACTCTGCCAGTAGTATGTTGCATATGGACACAAGAGCCTTGGAATATGTATAATCATTTGATAATTCTTCCCTTAAATTTTGGGGACAATGGGAGGTTATTCTCAGAAAAAAGGATTTCAGGGGAAGGACTGGGTTCCAGTCATGGGTAACAAGGCTGACAGATTTTGCCCCTTTGTGTTCCCCAAATTACTCCGTAGCCTTCCCACACTGCCTCAACAAGGCTGCTTGGTAGGTTCAGGTACTAGAAGGCAGTTCTTGATTGAATACGATGTTCTATTCCAGAATAAAATGAAATATTATAGACTGAACAAGAACAGGAAAGCAACCAGCACAAGAACAGACATATAAAAACAAAATAAAGGGCTCTAAAGGGAGATGTGGTAGTGATGAATAGAATATAACAACCTAAATCTTTTTTTTTTTAACCCTGAAACTGATCTCTTGAGCATCATATACAATCCTTCACCAGCTGACGGGAGAAAACAGTAGAGATTTAGAAAAGAATAGAGATTCTCTAATAGGCATGAGCGATTTATTCTCCATGTCACTTAGCACTAGCAAAGCATCACAGAATCAGAGGGAAAGGGTTCTGAAAGAGCCATGTTGTGGTTTTACAGGCAACAGCAGCTCATCCCTCACAGGTATCCCTGTCACCAAATGGGAAATTCCTCACCTTCCCCACTGCTGGTGGGTACATCCAAGCTCATGTACCAACATCTCTCTTTCAAAAAATTGTTTTATTGGAACAATTGTCAGAGTTTAATGAACTGAGAGATCAATGGCAATGCTGGGGCATTCATCACAGTGCCTTTCAGATACAATAGAGACCACCTAATTCAGAGCAAATAACTTTCCGTCCTTGTCACACACACACAAAGAAGCCCCAATATACCTAATATTAAGGGTGATTACAACACTGGCAATTTACCTAATAAGAAAGGAAATATTAGAATCCTTTATTAGACCCATACATGTTTTTAAGGTGCTCACTAAAGGCAGAGAAATGAAGAGTCTCTGCTAGACCAAACACCCAGTTGGAAGAGGAACCACACCTGGAGACTAGCTCTCCATACTGCCCATTGCATTGCTCTTTCCACTCCTGGGGAGTACATAGGATCCTGGGTAAGTGTTTCTAGAAGCATTAGCCTAAAATTTTCAGAGGAACCTGGAGGAAGTTAAATCTTACAACTGAGGGGCAGTACATTGAAAGATGTAAGCATCAACAGGTGTATGCATTTGCTAAAGAGACCACTCAACTATTCAGTAGTGATCAGCTCTTAAGAGCCATGAACATTAGGAGCAGAGGGAGGAACATAACCCAATGGTTCCCTATAAATAACTCTTTAATTGAAATAGAAAGAGAAACAAATGGTAGAAAAAGTTTCTCTGCTTTAGGGGAAGGTCCTGAAGGGCTTGCTTGCTTTGAAACCTTCACAGTAAGGAGCCTAACAGCATGATCAAGATTGTCCAGCTGAGGATCTTCCCAAAAGCTCATAAAACAAGGAGAAAATTATATAATTTCTGAAAGGAAATGAGATGAGCTCCATCAAGGTTAGTAGAGGTTATCTGTTTCTTCTCATATTGTTCTTTAAAATATCCAAAATAGGCCAGGAGTGGTGGCCAGGCTCACACCTGTAATCCCAGCACTTTGGGAGGCCAAGGCGGGCATTCACCTGAGGTCAGGAGTTGGAGACCTGCCTGGCCAACATGGTGAAAACCCATCTCTACTAAAAACACAAAACTTAGCCGGGCGTGGTCTCGGGAGGCTGAGGCAGGAGAATCTCTTGAACCCAGGAGGCAGAGGTTGCAGTGAGCCGAGATCACGCCATTGCATTCCAGCCTGGGTGACAGGAGCAAGACTTTGTCTCAAAAAAAAAAATCCAAAATAAAAATGCATGTCACAAAAGGATATAAATATTTCTAAACCTTTCAAAAGATGCTCAAGTTCATTCAGAATCAAAGAAATACACATTCGAGCACTGAAATATTGAAATGCACATTTAATCACTGAAATACACAATTACTTTTTACTATTAGATTGGCAAATGTTTATTTTAAAAAAAATTGGTTCTACTCAGTGTTGGCCAGGGTGTGGAGAAGCAAACACACTCATGAGCCATTGATGGGACTATAAGCGGCTACAACCCTGTTGGCAAGCAGTCTGGCAATCAGTGATGTCTGTTTCCTCTGACTTGGCAATCCTGCTTTGTAGAAATTGTCCTACACTACTATATAGGCAAAAACATGTGTACATATAAGACTGCCCACTCTAGCTTTGTTCATAAGAGCAAGAGACTAGAAACAACCTAAAGGCCCGTCAAGAAAAGACTGGTTAAATATGTTTTGGTGCATTCATGCAATGAACTACCATATAAACAAATAAAAGAACATGCTTTGTCTATCTGTAATAGTGTGGAACAATATCCAAGTTATATGTAGTAAGTGGGGGGAAAAGCCAGGTACAAAAGGGAACATATGGTATGTCCCTACTTGTACTTAGAAAAACAGAAACCAGGTACGGTGGCTCATGCCTATAATCCCAGCCCTTTGGGAGGCTGAGGCGGGAGGATTGCTTGAGCCCAAGGGTTCAAGAGGAGCCTGGGCAACATGGTGAAACTTTGTTTCTACAAAAACTACAAAAATTAGCTGGGCTTGGTGGAATGTGCCTATAGTCTCAGCTACTAGGGAGGCTGGGGTGGGAAGATTACTTGAGCCCAGGAGGTCAAGGCTGCAATCAGCTGTGATGGTGCCACTGCACTTTGGCCTGGGTGGCTGGGTGACAGAGCAAGACCTTGCCTCAAAACAAAACAAAACAACCAAAAGAAACAGTTGTTGACATTAATGTAGATAATAGATAAACGTTCTGCAGGGCTACTCCAGCAACTGTTAATAGTAGTTGCCTCTGGGGAAACGGAGTCTGCATATCCTTTTATACTTTTTTTATTTAAGGCTAGTTACTTTAAAAACATAGTAAAAGGCCAAGGCAGGTGGATCATAAAGTCAAAAGATCGAGACCATCCTGGCCAACATGGTGAAACCCCATCTCTACTAAAAATACAAAAAAAAAAAAAACTTAGCTGGGTGTGGTGGTGTGCACCTGTAGTCCCAGCTACTGAGGAGGCTGAGATAGGAGAATTGCTTGAACCCAGGAGGCGGGGGCTGCAGTGAGCCAAGATCGTGCCACTGCACTCCAGCCTGGGTGACAGAGAGAGACGCCATTAAAAAAAAAAAAGGAAGAAATTGGAAAAGGAATCATTTCCTCACTCTTTTTTATTTATTTTTATTTTTGCTCCCACTCCACCAGGACTTTTCTTTACTCTTAGAATCCCAATGAAATAATATTGAACCAGAGGAAAACTTTAAGTAAATACAGTGCTCTCACAGGATGGAGAATTCTTGTTAATTGACTTTTCTGGCTATTCAACATTAAACCAGAAAATCCATGTAACTTCAATCTTTGTTAGGAGTATTATAAACTTTCTGAGTTTCCCCTTCAGCCTAGGTAAGCCCTTTCCCAAGAGTATGTCATCTTTCTTGGTGCACCTTGCAGTGTCTTATGCTCATGATTCTAAACACCACTTTTCATGATGGGAGATGAACCTAAACTAATTCTGGGCGGTATCTTTTAAGAGTTTTGTTGTTGTTCAGCATATAGAAATGAAATGTTAAAAAAAAAAAAAAACTTCAGTGTGATAAGAATTCTAGTTAGATGAATTTCAGCTACAGTCATCGCTAGGCATATGGAAGAGATTGGTTTCAGAACCACTCCCTGTTCCTCCCACACTCTCCCCCGTACCAAAATCTGTGCATACTCAAGTCCCACAGTCAACCCTGGAAAATCCACATATACTTGGGTTTTTCATCCTGTGAATACTGTATTTCACTGAAAAAAAATCCCCATATAAGTAGACAGACCTGTGCAGTTGCAGGGCCAACTGTTGTTCAAGGGTCAACTGTAACTGAACCTCCAGCTAACTAAAATCACATGGAACCATAACTGTAAGTGCAGCTAAATTCAAGCCCCATCTTTGGAACTGGCACTGAGTTAGACACAAGATGAACAAAGAAATAGAAGTTATTAATGTAAATTTCCACAAATTACCATCTTGAAGGGGAAATAAGAATTTATATAAGCTTACATATTTGCAACAACTTGAAAATGATATCAAAGTAATAGTAGGTTATTTTAGGTAAGTCAATCCTTTAAACATATTCTATTATACCTTCCAAATAGGCCATAATATTTTGAGAGTCATCTAAAGGAGTGTAATTTGAACATAATTTGTTAATCACTTTTCAGAAAATATGTAATATTTTATATTCACTTATATTGATTAGGTATCTGCCATTCTACAGACTGTGATAGTTTAATAGGATTTCCAAGAAGGACTCGTCTTACACTGGGACATAAACCATAAATAGAAGTGCTCTTAATGTCATTAGAAGATTCAGTACTATTTTATAATATAAAATATAACATCAACTGTAAATGTGATATTGTAAAGATAGAAACAACCTCTTGAGAGCAAAAAATCTTACAGGCTATGGGCACTATGGAAGCAAAGGCGCTCAGAACATCTGAAAAAATAATGAAGTTTAAAGTTTCTTGATTCTTTCTTAGAGTATCTAGCATAGGGACTAACATACAGTAGTAGCCTCTCAATAAATGTTAACTAAATACAGTGTACATGTTAAATAATAAATGCCTCTTGAATGAAGAAAAAATACGCCACGTCAGAGATTTTTTGCCCCAGCTTTCATGCCTAAATTGCATGAATCAAAAAAAAGCTGTTGATCAAATTCCCAAAGGAAAGGAGCTCATGTTTTGCTCATGGGGGCACAATGAACATCCATAGGTAATAGTCAATCCATTTCCCAAGCTGGTGGTAATCAAGATCCAGGATTGAATCTAACATAAAATCACCTAAAAGCAAAGAAGCTCTGACATCATTTTGTACCGCTGTATTATACTAGAACTTATTTTTAAAAACAAAATTAAGAATTCCTACCCGAACAAGTTTTTCTGAATCCCCTCTCCATTTGCTGACAATGGTGGATGCAGAAATATTAAAAAAGGTTGTTTTACATTCAGTGGCCACAGCTTTGGCCAGTAAAGTCTTTCCTGTACCTAGAGAGAGACACATAAAAGATGAGAAGGCATTTCAACTCCATCAACTCCATCCCCCTGCTTACAGACAGAAGTCAGTCTCACGCACGAGGAAGGAAGTGGCTGCTCAGCTCTCATGTACCCCAGTCCTGAAGTGAGGACAGAAGGAGCAACTCATCCTCTGCACACACACTTAACACGCATCAAAATAGGAAGCTGTGTTTACCTGGAGGGCCATACAGCAGTAGTCCTTTCCAGGGGGAAAGAATTCCTGTAAATAGCTGGGGATACTATGGAAACAAGGAACAAGGATGAGGTTTGGTGCTGACACATCAGCCTGCATATTCTCAGCACAGACAACCCAGGAAAGCTGGAGCAAACGCCTCACAGCTCTAAGATTACGGCTCCCTTTTTTGCTTAAGGTCATCTGCCTCTGACCTAAATAAACAGATCTTATTCACCCCAATTTTATTTTCACCCTCGATTAGAATGCCTGACTTAATTTTTGTGGCTTTTTAAAGGAGCAATTTTTTAAGGAAAAGAAAGGTATATGTAGGTTCTCTTCCTCTCTGTTATAACAGTTGTTTTTTACATGCATAACATCATTTTCCCCAGACATCTATATGCAGAGCATTTGGCAATCTTTTGAATGTTGTAAAGCAGGTATGAATTTTAAAATACATACTAGAACCAACTAATAAAGGTTTACTCGAATAAAGTACAGAGCTATGGGGAAACCTGTTTTAGAAGTTGGGGGTATTCAGGGGCAAATGCATCAAGAGACACTAACTCTGAACAGGACATGCATAGCAAATCTCTCCCATTACTTCAAATTCAAACAATCTGGGGAAGATAGGTGGGAAGGGTTGGTAGAGAACGGGGGAGAGGGGTGTAGCAAGGAATATTAGTAAAATTACAACTAGCTATCAGTTTCTTGCTAATCCTGATGTCAAATCTCAACACATATGGAGTTGTAATGCCATAGAGAGAACAAATCCAGAGAATTTCAATGAGATATTCTATCCTTTCTAAATGTTTTATGCTATAGTTCCACTTGGAAAGGTGAGTAAATTTCTATTAATCCTGAACACCAGTGTATTTCTTACCCCTAAGTCTGAACACAGAAAGAAAGAGGGGGGAAAGAGAATCCAGACGTATGCATTTTGTCTTTTTAGAGGAAAGCATCCAAAAATCAGGGGCCACGTGGGCTCAGTGGTAAGACTAAGTAGGTTATTCAATAAAATAAATGAATAATCCTGACAGCAGGAGATTACAGAAAACGGCCACAAATTATCTGTCGCTCCTTTCATCAAGAAGTAGAGCCTATTTCTCCAACATTTTAATCTGGGCCTGGCCTTGTGACTTGGCCAGCGGGACTGTAGCAAATGTAAGAGACTTGAAAATATAAGGCTAGCATATAAAAAATAAAAGAGGCATGCTTGTGAATTAGAACTTGCCCTTTCTTGCCTCTTTCTGGGAACCCGCTGCCACCATGTGAGCAGGAGTGGGCTTTCCTGCTAGAGGATGAGAGGCCACATGGAGAGACACCTTAGCTGTACTGCTTGTCCCTGACTTTTCACTCTCTCCATCGTTTGCAGCTACTCTGGCTGATGGCTCAGACATGTGATTAAGCCCAGCCAATACCACCATGTGGAAAAAGAGATGAGCCAGCCCAGCTGAGCCCAGCCCCAATTGCCTACCCACAGAATTACAAACAAATAAATTGTTGTCTTAAGGCACTAAGTTGTGGGGTAGTCTGTTATTAACAAAAGCTAAGTTATCATTTACATCCTCATCACTCTATTTGTATCAAACATGGAGAGTATTGTTTTTCTATTTTTCTCCCCAGTTTGAGAACTGCACAGAGATTTGCCAATAATAAGTAATGAGTGCAACAGGCTGGCTTTGCTGGTCACTGCCCTGGAAGGGGCTGTTCAGTCTTCACAACCAGCCAGAAGCAAAGCCCCAGATGATCCTGGGGGGTAGGTGGGGAGGATAAAGGAAGGATCTGTGGAAACAAAGTGAGAGATTCTCCCCAACCAGAGGCATTTCTACAACAATAAGAATATTTTTAAGGGAGCAGGCTAATTTGAATCAATCTGACAAATCATGTATACCATAGAGTCTTAGATCTTAAAGTTTCACTTAGCTCAGACACCTGTCTTGAACTAATATGTAACATGGTTTTAAATGATCTAGAAAGGACCAGGCTTTGGTGCTCCATGGTTGAGAAGGTGTTGTGACACAGGCAAAAAGTTAACGTGTGGACAGAAAATCATCCTGCCCTTCCCTTCCTGATAGGTGTGTGACATACAGCTTGTCCAATGGATATTGAACAGAAATAACCCCCAAGAGGCTTTCCATCCTTACCCTTATAGGATACACAACAGCTTCTTTGACTAACTGCTTGGCTGCATCAAGTCCAATAATGTCATTCCACTTTATGTTTGGATTATGGAGATAAATGTCCTGCAATGCACATTTGATCATTTTGTTAAAACTGATGTTTTCCTCTACAGCTGTAATAAACTTGGGAGCAGCAGAATACTTGACTTACAATAGGATATAAAGTACTAGTGATAAAAACTGTTCATATTAGATATATATACGTATATACATTGTAATTTTGGGTTAGTTCACCAAAGGCATGCCATGAAAATATTCAATGATTTTCCCTGAAAAAGACATTGATAACACAGCATGGTACTTTCTGGGGAGAAAAAAAAACCTCCTAACAACGGACTCTACCTGTCTTCAGTCAATAGCAAACCATGCTGATTTATAACCAAAATTAAAGAAGCTACAGAATATGCCTTCAAATTACATTCGCTGTTACTGTGAAACATAGTTCCTAGCCAGCACCTGGCCTTGCTCTTGTTCCTTGATCTCACAAACACTTTCTTAATTTGTTGCATAAAAGAGATAATGCTCCTCTGAAACCAATTTCTCTTTTTTCCCTAGCCATCATTCCTTACTTCCAGCAGGAGCAATTGCTTCTACAAAATTCAAGGAAGCCCACAACTGAGCGAAAGTGCAGTTTTTCCCTCTTATAGTAGAGCCCTGTAGCAACTATCTAGCGTAATCAATTAAGGTAGCTTTTACTGATAACTAATTTAGTTTCCAAACTTCAATTTCAGCAGACACCTCTGAGCAGTCACTAAGGGGCCTTTCTCAGTAGGAGCTGTTTCGGGCAGACTGAATATCTAGAAGGTTTAAGGAAAAAAACAAAAAAAAAACAAAAAACAAACAAAAAAAAAAAACCTTCTTTCCAAAGTCATTCTGAGTGACTACAGAAAAAAAAACCTGGAAACTACTGTCATATTTACATAATTTTTTTTTTAGACAGAGTCTTGCTCTGTCACCAGGTTGGAGTGCAGTGGCGCCATCTCAGCTCACCGCAACCTCCACCTCCCGGGTTCAAGCAATTCTCCTGCTTCAGCCTCCCAAGTAGCTGGGACTACAGGTGCACGCCACCACGGCCAGCTAATTTTTTTGTATTTTTAGTGGAGACAGTGTTTCACCATGTTGGCCAGGATGATCTCGATCTCCTGACCTCATGATCCACCCACCTCAGCCGCCCAAAGTGCTGGGATTACAGGCGTGAGCCACCATGAACAGCCATAATTTTTAATAAGTAATATATTTACATGATCCAAAAACATGAATACATTTTTTTGAGATGGAGTCTCACTCTGTCATCATGCTGGAGTGCAGTGGCACGATCTTGCTTGCTGCAACCTCCACCTCCCAGGTTCAAGCAATTCTCCTGCCTCAGCCTCCCAAGTAGCTGGGATTACAGGCGTGTGCCACCATGCTCAGCTAGTTTTTATATTTTTAGTAGAGATGGGGTTTCACCATGTTGGCCAGGATGGTCTCGATCTCCTGACCTTGTGATCCACCTACTTTAGCCTCCCAAAGTGCTGGGATTACAGGCGTGAGCCACCATGCCCAGCCTAAATACATTTTTTAAATGCTGGTGAAATGTTTGTGCCTACTCCTGCTCCCTACCCATCCAGTTCCCTCCACCATAGGTGTTTCACATTTATTTTTAATTTTTCTTAAAACAGGGTCTCGCTCTGTAGCCCAGGCTGGAGGGCAGTGGCATGATCACCACTCACTTCAGACTCAACCTTATGGGCTCAAGCAATCCTCCCACTTCGGCCTCCCAAGAAGGCACAAATCACTATGTCCAGCTAATTTTTTCATTTTTGGTAGAGATGAGGTCTCACTATGTTGCCTAGGCTGGTCTCAAACTCCTGGACTCAAGTGATCCTTCTGCCTTGACCTGCTAAAGTGCTGAGATTGAGATTACAGGTGTGAGTGAGCCACTGCACCCAGCCAACTTTCACTTTTATTAGAGACAGTTTTTTTTGTTTTTATTTTTATTTTTGAGATGGAGTCTCACTCTGTCACCTAGGCTGCAATATAGCAACTTCTGCCTCACAGGTTCAAGGAATTCTCATGCCTCAGCCTCCCAGGTGGCTGAGACTATTGGCACACACCACCATACCCAGCTAATTTTTTTGTATTTTCAGCAGAGATGGGGTTTTGCCATGTTGGCCAGGCTGGTCTCAAACTCTTGGCCTCAAGTGATCTACCCACCTCAGTCTTCCAAAGTGTTGGGATTATAGGTGCAAGCCACTACACCTGGTCTAGAGAAAGTATTTATACAAGTGCTTTGGTCTTGCACGATACGTTTAATCCATTCTTGGGTGGAATGACAGAGAAAGGACTGAGTCTTCCTCACTCTGTCTTTAGAGCCTGGATCTACATGGAGGCCCACCAGCCACTCACATTCTTATTACCACCCTTCCTTAGGGAAATCTTGGCGCACAAGAAGGATTCACTTTCCTAGGTATTCAAGGCATCCATAGATCACAGAAGTATTTCCTGCCCTCTTCTAAAGTTGAGTTTCACAAGGTAATATTTAATTTCCCAGCTGACAGTTTCTTCCTATATCAATCCAAAGTTAACAGTCAGAATTCAACAGGACTACCTCGTGAGGTGGCGAGCGCTCCATCAGTGTAAGCAGAGTTTCTACCTTCCGTGCCACTATAGAAAAGATTCCAGATGGAGTCATCTCAGGCCACTTTCACTCTACAGTTCTACCCTCATAGTCATGTTACCCTTTTGCAAAAATGGTAATAAGATTATTGATTTGGGTTGGCATAAAAAATACTTTGCTCTGCTCTCTTATGCATCCGTTACTGTAGCCTGGCTCAGTCCCTCATCCCTCTCACTGGTCAAAACCTCATAGCTGGTCTCCCCATCTCCTTTTCTTTGCTATTCATTCACCTCATTGTTATAGAACAAGCTATCCACAAACACATGGGATGATCCCATTCTCCAATGGATGCCTTTCTAAGGTCCCATCTTCTATAGGCATGTCCCCAGCCCTGGGTACTGCTCATGGAGCCCTTCCTCCAGAACTCTGACTCTGTCCACCCGTTCCCCACCACTTCCTGCTTCCTAGGTGGCCAATGGGAAATGTGCGAAAGCTGCAATTTCTCATGGATGTGCCTATGCCCAGGACGCCTCCCAGCCTCCCTCTTCCACTTTTTCTCTTAGCAATTTCCTGTCTTCTTTCCTAACACTTTCCCCACCCCTCCCTCCTTCATGCTCTCAAAGCAAACCTTGCCCATGGGATGAGACACTTCTGAGGGCAAGGGCTGCTCTGACTCATTCATCTTTGTGTCTCTAGCCCACAGCACACCCCTGACACATAAGAAACAACTGCTGAGCTGAACAGAGACAGCTTAGGAGCCCTTAGCTTCTCAGAGGAGCTGTGAATTTTTGGGATCATTTTAAACACCCCTCTGAGCCTGCCTAGGTTTCAGTCTTCAATTAAATATGAAGCATTAGAAATTAGAAAAATATCCTATAATTCAGGAATCTATTTCCCAGGAACTTGCCCAACTTTACACAGCTAGCAAGAGAAGGATCTAGAAATCAAATGCAGGTCGGCTAATTCCAAAGCCTATTCTTCACTGCCTTCTGATTCCACAGTGCAAGCTGGAAAAGCCAGTAGTCTGGATGGTAAAGTCTTTCCTGCTAATCGTGTTCTTCACGGAAATTTTCGATGATGATATCATCAGACTCTCGACGTCTCTATTTCTAGGCTCTGACTTTTTAAACCAGATGCAGACATATTCTTTTCTTCTTTAAAAGGCTTTCTTTCCTTGACTCTTGGCTCTGCTATAAAACCTTTCACCTGTCCCTTCATTCCTAAGTCTTTTCTCTCTCGGTTTTCTTGGCCTCTATCATGAGATGGTGGGCTTTTTATATTGTAATTTTATGATTCTATAATTTATTTATCATGCATTATTGTGCCTCTAAACAATATGAGTGCCTTTGCAAGTGGGGGCACTTTATAAATAAATGATCATATTTATTGTTATTAATAAAAGAAGCAGCCCACAAAGCTCCAGAAGCCCCAGCCCACATCTGTAAATTTGTGAATTGAGTATCAGGATCTTACCCGGCTCACCACTGCTGCCAATTCTCGCATCTCACTGTTCATGCCAATAAATGCACTCAGAGGTTTCAGTAGTCGTTCCTGATGGGAGGAGCAGAAAGGCTCACATTACAATATTGCTCCATAATTCAGGAAGAAACCCCGGGCAGGTACGGGTCTCGGTGAAACAAACGATGGCAGGTGGCTCTGGCCTTTGACTTGACCTCAAGGTTTACTCAAAATTGTATTTCCAGAGTTCATCTGGATGTTGGCAATTTGAAAGATGAATGTCACATCTTCGCCACTTACTGAGGGGTCTGGGTTACGGTCGAAGGTGTTCAAGGCAAGTTCACTGGTCGCTCCCTTGATGGCATCTGTGAGCAGCCCTTGGAAGTCAATGATTTGGCCCTGAAAAGGAGGCATGGTTATTTATGCCCTGAGAACGTAAGAGAAAACTCTTCTTAATAACTCATTCTCATTAAACCAAGACACATTTATATACCCTGGTATATAGGGCAAACTTAAAGTTAAGCTTTAAAAAGAACCAGCACTAGTGTTAAACAAGATGATTTCCTCAAGTTGGAGCACCCTAAAAAATTGTAAGTACATTTTTCAGAATGAAGTGGATTTGAATAAAAATTCATGAGTATTTCTCAGTTCCTGACACAGACCATCTGCTTCCTTGTATGTTGACTTTCCCTGTATGCTCCCATCCTTTTAAAATGTTACACATGCAGAAAGAACTCATTGGCACAACAGTAACGAGAGTTACTGTCTATAGACTATAATGCATGTTCCCCACTCTGTTGAGTGCTGGGTACAAAATAAGTGTGTAACGTTCTTTGTGAGGACTATTTCTTTTTTGTTATTTTTTAAATTTTTAGTAAAATTTTATTTTTTATTTGTATAAATTTATTGGGTACAAATGTAATAAATTTACATTTCCATCAACAACGTATGAGTTCCCTTTTCTCCATATCCTGTGAGGATTATTTCTAATCCTTTTTGTTTTTTTCTTTAAGAGACAGATATGATCTCACTCTGTTGTGCAGTGGCACAATCATAGCTCACCACAGCCTTAAGCTTCTGGGCTCAAGGGATCCTCCCACTTCAGCCTCCCAAAGAGCTGGGACTACAGGTGTGCACCACCATCTCAGCTGATTTTTAAAAAATTTTTTGTAGAAATGGGGTCTCATTAAGTTGTCCAGGCTAGTCTCCAACTCCTGACCTCAAGTTATCCTCCCACCTTAGCCTCCCAAAGGGCTGGGATTACAGGTGTGAGCCAGCATGCCTGGCCTTTTCTAATTCTTATAACACTTCTGCTAGTCAGGAGTGACACCTGGCTTCACAGATGTGGGAGTAAGACCAGAGAAGTTAAGTGATTTGCACAGGTCCACACAGCTAATAAATGGCTTAAGGCCAGAATTTAAACCCACTTAATCTGTCTTTCAACCCATGATCTTTCCAATAACACCCTGTCTCCCCTAGAGGTAGAAGGGAAAAAGCAAGGATGCACACAAAAAGCATTAATACTAGCCAACATTTATGTAGTGTTTATTATGTGCTTGGCACTGCACCAAGGCTCTCCTTTCATTATGACACTTAAAGTGGGCACTAGGATGATTTCCATTTTACACATGAGAGAAATGAGACTTGGAGAGATTATAAACAATTTGCCCAAAGTTACATAGTGGGGGAGCATCTGAGCTGGGTTTTGAATCCAGACAGGCTGATTCTGAAGCCTATGGCCTTAAGAACAATATACCTACTAAAATTTGCAGGGAGGCTTGGGTGTCCCAAAGCTTGGGTTCTGATATAGTAAGAATGGGTGCCCCTTCCAAATCTCATGTCGAAATGTGATCACCAATGTTGGAGGTGAGCCTGGTGGGAGGTGTTCGGGTCATTGGGGAGGATCTCTCATGAAAGGCTTGGTCTTCTTACCACAGTAAAGAGTGTGTTCTCACTCTATTAGTTCATGAGGGAGCTGTTTGGTTAAAGGAGCCAGGCATCTCCCTCCTCTCTTGCTCCCTGTCTTGCCATGCGACATGCCAGGTCCCTTGCCTTCTTCCATGAGTAAAAGCTTCCTGAAGCCTCATCAGAAGTTGAGCAGATCCCAGTGCCATATGGAACTATGAGCCAAATAAATCTCATTTCTTTATAAACTACTCAATCTCAGATATTCCCTTTTAAGCAATGCAAAACAGATAGACACAGGTACTAACATGAAGATGACAGATCTGGGTTGTTTTTGTTTTTTTTGAGATTGGTCCCAGGCCATATATCCTCATATAACCTACGAACATGTGAAATGCTAGGGACAAAGCCATTTACATTTGGCCCTGAGGATATTTCTGCTGGTAAGAGGATTTATAGTCAGACTATTTCAAAGGTTAAGTGCTGGGTTAAATAGTCCCTTCCTTGTGACCCAATCAAAAACATCCATTCATTTCAACATGAGGCATTCACAACAGAAACTAATGCCACAAAATAGCTAGGCAAAGGTGACTGAAAACACAATAGAAGCAGTGAAGGTGAACAAGGAAACATTTTTCAGAGGGCAGCATTGATTCCAATGGTATCATCTCCAGCAATTACCATGTAAGTGAGGCCCTTAAAGGGAGTCAACTCAGGCCAGTGAGGTCACTGCCCTTGATTTTCAGGGAGGCGCTCCAGTCACCCCTCCAAATTCACACACACAGAGTTAGTTTTTCTAAGAGCTGGCCAAAAGTAAGTTAGCTTTCCAGTGGCTTGAGAACTTGGCTGAAGAAAGAAAGAAGACTCTTAAAGAAATTCAACCTTGGAGAGTATGACCAAGAGAAACGCTGTTCATTTCCAAATCACGTTTTAGTCTGCCTTTTGACTACATCCACCCAATCTGGTCTTTTCTGGATTTGACATTATTATTGACAAATCCAGACATGAGATTGATTATGAAAAAAGTAGAAATATCTATCAAGGACAAAATCAACCCTATATCAACTGATGTTTCATGGTTCACATGAACTTACATTTAGACCAGGAGCCATCCCTCCAAGGAGAAGGATGACACCACTAAGCAGCTGCCACTGACAGACCAGAGCAGAATGAGTATATGTTTCCAACTCACTAAATAATGCAGATGTCCCAGCGCTTTGGGAGGCCCAGACAGGAGGATTGCTTGAGGCTAGAAGTTTGAGACCAGCCTGGGCAACAAAATAAGACCCTATCTCTAGAAAAACAAAAATATAGTTGGATGTTGTGGTGCATGCCTATAGTCCTAGCTACTTGGGAGGCTGTGGCAAGAGAATTCTTTGAGCCCAGGAGTTCAAGGCTGCAGTGAGCCATGATCTCACCATTGTACTCCAGCCTGGGCTAAAGAGCAAGACCCTGTCACAAAAAAAAAAAAAAAAAAAAAAGAGAACAATGCAGGATAATCACACCAATGTTTGTCATTGGTGTAATTACAAAATTGTAATTACAGAATTTTTAAGCTGATGGGAGCACAAGAGACAATCTCTTCCAAGCCCCTCAATTTACAAATGAGGAAACTGAGCTCCTTAGAAATGGGGCAGTTCATGCTAGATCATGCCTTGAGAAAAGAGATTCCAAAGAAGAACCCATTTTCTTTTTTTTTTTTTTTTCCCATTTATTTATTTTACCATCTCACACCACTTAGAATGGCAATCATTAAAAAATCTGGAGACAACAGATGCTGGAGAGGATGTGGAGAAATAGGAACACTTTTGCACTGTTGGTGGGAGTGTAAATTAGTTCAACCATTGTGGAAGACAGTGTGGCGATTCCTCAAGGACCTAGAAATAGAAATTCCATTTGACCCAGCAATCCCATTACTGGGTATGTATCCAAAGGATTACAAATCGTTCTACTATAAGGACACATGCACAGGAATGTTCATTGCAGCACTGTTTACAATAGCAAAGACCTAGAACCCATTTTCTGACCCTCTTCTCCATTTACCTCACAGCCGACATTCAAAAATCACATCTTCACTTTCCTGTTTGACAAAAATAATGTTTTTTGTTTTCATGTTTAAAAAGAAAAATAATTACCCCTTTCAGTGTTAGGTTCAAGAGTTTCACTTACTCTTCGTGGGTGGGAGTTTTCCTCTCCACCGTCTTTATTGATTCTTGATATAGTTAGGCCGAAATCAGCACTCTCCAGGTGAGTGTTACTAACTACCTCCTGAAGAACGAGAAACAAGGAGACATGGGCAGTGAGCAGCCGTGGAGAGATGCTGGCTGTACCTGCCTACTCCATCATGCGAAGTCCGATGCTGGAAAGCAGCTCTGTAAACGCAGATGTGCACATGTAGCTTAGCCACTTTTGTGCAGACCCAGGAAGGTGAGTTAGCTGTTTGCCTGCACTGTGTGGAAGGAGTTGTTCCTGGAAGAATGAGAAGGTGGCAGACCATGGGCCCTGAGCCGCTTTTCCAACGGAGGAAACAGTTGTGCCTCAACCCAACCCCATTGGCTGGCTTGTCTTTTTTCCTGTGATCAGAGGTGTTTTTGTCCAGGAGTGGCTGAATTTTAAGTGCACCAGCCTCCCATGGGACTCATCCTGCCCCACCTTCACCTCTCTTCCATCTGAGTCAGGCTGCGGCGGCCAGAACCGTAGAACCTCCTTGACGGGAGAGAATCCTTTAGACCAGTCAGGTTTTGTGATTATTTCTTTCCATTAATTTTATTTTCATTCCTTTTCTCAGTTTCCATTGGTCTTCTTTCCTTTGAAACCTGGAATATTTTGTCCTAAGAAGGTTCTGGACGTGAGCCTCCTGAGTCAGAAGCCATTGACTTAACTCACCTGCTGGGTTCTCTCCTTGCTGCCCTCTTTGGCCCCGAGGAAGTCCAGTGTGAAGGCCTGCGGTAAGGGCTAACCATGTGCGATTTGGAGAAGCCCAACAGGAGACCTAGAGACCCAGCCACACCTGAAACCATGCCTGGCCTACACTTAGGAACCCAGCAATGTGTTCTGGGACAGGAAGACCCGCCATCTTGGTTAGCTCAGTTACCTCAGGTAACAGTTACCTCAGATGAGAAGATCAAGCTCTATACCAACCAGGCTCTCTTGCTCTGACTGGACCCCAGCTCCACCCTGGCTCATCTCCCAGCACCCAGACCAAGGGAAAGACTTGAAGGAGGCAAAAGTCCTCCTGCTTAAGTTAAAAAAACATTAGGAAATCTAGGGACATGTCCATGGTTTTAGTCCAGTGTACTAGAAAAAAACTTAGAATTCAATTAGATCACACCACAATTTTAAAAGCATAGGTCCTCAAAAATTAAATAAATGTGACTTTTTTCATAGAGCCATTTTTCAACCAAGTTTACTATTCCAAAAGCCAAGCCAAGCCATCCTGACCTGATTAGGATGCTCCTTATTGAGAGACTTGGTGTCCCCTGTTTTCCCTGCCGTGGTTTTAGACCGGGGCCTCTGCTGATTGATCTTGGGAAGATTTTGACAACTGTCATTCATCACCCTAATGGAGGGAACAAAGACCTTGGAAGAAATTATTCTAGCCACTTAATTCTAACAACCATTCTTAAGAATAGCATATTTAAGAAAGCTACGGAAAGATACGCAGGTGGCCACTATAGGGCCCTTTCACCTACGCTATTCCCCACCAGGTCCATTCTGGTCCTAACTCCCTCCAGGATACTCACCGGGTTCTTCTAAGATCCCCTCCTGGAGCCCCCCAGCTCACCCTCTTCATTTCCCTTTCACACCACATAGCTTCAGCCCTTCTGCAAATAGCTTTAGTTCTTAAGAACATACTGCTTTACAAGCATTTTTCCATTGTTCCTTCCACCTTCCTTAAAAGCAGCATCAGACCAGGAGAAAGGCGTGGGGGAGAAAGAGGTTTTCCCACTCAAACTAAGAAACAGTGGGAAATCCAAGGATTGGCCCATGGTTTTAATCCAGTGTCCTGGATGTACCCTGCCCGCTTAAAATACCTCTCAGCATGTTCTGTGTAATAAACATCAAAAGGGGATTGCAAAAGGAAAGCAAACCTTCCCTCATCAATGTTGTCCCAGACCAATCATAGCTGCCAAACAAATTTTCATCAATAATTGTTTACTTCAGGCAAAACCAACTGATGGGGTTGGAAGTCAGAAGAGTAGCTAACTGTGATGGAGATGGGGAGAATTTGAGAAGGGGCAAAGAGAGCCTGCTGGTGGCTGCAACTGTGGTTACAAGGGTAGATGCATTTACTATAGATATAGTAATATATGTGGTATGACTGTATATATGTTAGATATCCATAGAAAGATCAAATAATTTTTTTCACTACATCCTCATAATTAGACATAAAGTTCAGTATTGGAATATGTGTATTTTTCCATAGAAGATGACATCCAGAGAGACAGGACTGGCATGGGGGGCAGAACATGAACTCCGCCATTGTTGCTTAGTTCTCTCAGTTGTTTTGTCCCTGTATGAGACAAGCATTTGCAGAAGGTTCTCTAGAAGCATGTCTCCCCATGTTCAGAGTGATCTCAGAGAGCTGCTGTTTCAACTTTTTTTCTTGATGGGGTAATAAATGTACATGTCTAATATAAATGCACAGCTATTTGGCCAGCAAGACCATCCATGCCGACAATACCACCAATGTCCACATGGTGACACCTCTGTGAGTGTTGGGCTCACCGGGGGAGCCTCACGAGAGGCGGACACTAAGTTCTCGGGGTGTTTTTTTTCTATCTTTTTTTTTGGGGGGGGGACAGAGTCTTGCTCTGCCACCAGGCTGGAGTGCAGTGGTATGATCTCAGCTCACTGCAACCTCTGACTCCCTGGTTCAAGCAATTATCCCACCACAGCCTCCCGAGTAGCTGGGATTACAGGCATGCACCACCACGCCTAGCTAATTTTTGTATTTTGGTAGAGATGGGGTTTCACTCTGTTGGCCCAGATGGTCTCGAACTCCTGACCTCGTGATCCACCTGCCTCAGCCTCCCAAAGTGCTGGGATTACAGGCGTGAGCCACCACACTCGGCGCTTTTTTCTATCTTTAAATTTGGAATGTCTTTTTCCAGCCCTTTGCTGGCACAAAAATGAAATATCTATGAAATTAAGACCGAGCATTTTACAAATGCAAATTTATATTAATTAATAGTGTTGACTTAAGAGAAGTTATATATATGTGTTTGGGCGTGTGTGTGTGTGTGTGTGTGTGTGTGTACTTAAACTTTCCTTGCCATCCTCACCATCCTTGTGGAGCTGGAACTCTATTTTCCCACTCTGATTTCCCATTGGCTGCAACTGATCCATAAAGATCTGCTTTAACATGACCAAAATACAAGAGCACTAATGGACAAAGCAATGCAATTCATTTTCAATCAGCTCTGAGGATTGTAAAATTCTTCTGAACATGGAACCAAATTCACTCTGCTTTCACTTTGACCATTAGTCTTAGGTGCACCCTGTGGAATTCTGCAGAGAAGGCCTAATCGCCTGTTAGAGGGTGAACTGAAGCCTGTTCCTGTGTTGTTCTATGAGCCCCCCTCCACCAACCCTCTGTTCAAGCTCAACATCTCCAGTTGCTCCAGTCATTCCTAAAGTTACCTGGCTCCCAGATTCTTCCTCATACTGGTCACCTTCCAGAATGGTGTGACCTCCTACTTTTTGGACACTGTATTTCTATTGATGGGGCTGGGACCACAGTATCATTCACGTCACACTGTTGGCCCAGGTAAACTGAGATTTCTAGGTCTCTGATTTTGTAATGAAGGAGCTATTTGTTGTAACTCTTGTTCGAGCTTAAGCCTTATTTTATTCAATTTCACCTTGTTACTTTGAACCCATCTCCGGAATTGCCAAGACCTTCTGGGATCCCAGTTCTGTTATCCATCACATTGGATAACCTTTCCTCCTTTGGTTCATCAGTAAATCTTTAAGCGGGAATTAGGAATCTTTTCCAAGATTAGGAAAAGACACTTTGGTTTGCTAATATATAGCCAGTCTCATGATATGTCTCACTTCAGTAACTATATTTGAGTACAAAACTGTCTGCAGAAACACCATTCGTTACTTTCCTAGTTATTCCTCCTGACTCTAACCAATTGCTATTCAGCCTTTACGCTTGCCATATACAAACGTCTACTCAAAGAGGAGCCGAGGGGCCCCCATGCTGTCAAATGTGCCACCGTGCTCCATCCCTAAAGGGAACAAAGCACCCCAACACCATTCACTCACAGAGCATTTGCCAGAGAAAAATACTGAGAAGGTTCCAGAAAAATCATCCAAATCTAAAAGCCTTCCGAAGCTGGCCTCAAACGCTCCTCACGATTTCTATGCACAAGCAGTTATCATTTATTACCAGAGTCTGACTAGCTTTGTGGAAACTATAAATAAAAGAATACCACTTTTGTCAAAGCAATAAAACTCTTCCTGCAGAACAGCACAAAGCAAAGGTAGCCCGCGGCCAAGTATTACGGTGAGTAAGACTGTGGAGCGTTCGTGGGCTCCATGGCCATTTTTGCAAGCTGTGTCCACCAGCCCTGTGAGGTGTCCTAGACCCTGCTGAGGCTGGAACAAGAGAACTGGAGTCTCAGGAGCAGGGAATGTAGTGGGGGCATGACAGAATCCCTACCTCTTGAGGGCCTAATAAGTTGCATGTGATTACAATCTAACTTTTCTTTTTCCAAGAGCATTTTAAGATTTTAAACACTTTTTTCACTGCCTGGATGGCTGTGTGGCCCCTGCAGGAAGCCTACTCTAGCCTTCCTGTGAGGTTTAGGCTCTACTGTAATAGCAACAGCCCACAGGTTGCGATGCCCCAAAGCTGGCCCTCACTGGCAGCCAGCAGCAGCACCCTAGTACCCCTGGGTATTTTGGAACAGCTCTGTGGGAGGGAGTGGGGAGAGAGGAATGGGAAGGGTACTGGCAAGAGTAGGGGGCCTTGTGAAAGAATGTGTGTACCCAGAAAGGTCAAAAGAAAGAGGAGCTCCCATCAGAGGCTACAAGTCCCAAATGAGATTTGGACTTGAGAAGCTGGAGAAAGGAATGCAAGATGAGCCATGAACAGAAGGGAAAAGCAAGAGAAGAACGGGTCCCCGCAGGCCAGGACTAGCGAAGGCAGAAGCGTGAGCTCGTACCTCCTGGCTCATTACTGATCATCAGACAGGTCAGGACATCTGATTTGGGAGTGCTTGAAATTAACTAAATGATGAAAAGAGGGAAAATAATATTTCTTGGGTGCTCACATAGCCAGGGGCTATGTGTCCGAAACTTGCTCCATACTTGTAAATAGCAGAGCCAGGAATTGAATCTGGTCTTTTAGCCTCTAAGGTTCAGACTTTTCATACCGCATGGCCTGGAAAGACAGAGCATCACAGGATGCACTTATTTACAGTAAAACCAGGAGAATAGACAGACACTGGCCCAAATCTGGAGCAGCTGTAATGAGAGAAGTCCTGGGCTGGGCCAGGTCGCATAACTGCGGTCAGTATTGCTGGGAGACAGTCACGGAGCTGCGCTGGCAAAGGTTCTGAAAAGGGATCCCACGAGCTCCTTGAGCTCAGTTGACTAAGATAATTACCATTCACTTTACCTTCTGGTCTTCCCTCCACTTCTTTGTGGTAAATTATTTTCTGCTGTGACAAAACAAACACAGGGAGGGAAAGAAAATAATTTTAAGAGTGACAAAGTGATTTTTTTCAAGTATGTTTCCCCTTTATGCATAGTTCTTAAAATTTGTGCTATAGCAGATTGAAATCTAGAGACTTTAAGCTATTCTCATGTAGAGAGAACTGAAGTTACCAGTGAAGAGAAAGAGGCCCGAGCTTCTCAAGCATCTCCTCACAGAGAAAGATTGCAAAGGCCTCAGATATTAAACGTGTTAAAGACGGTGTACGTGATGGCAACTCCAATATAGGCTAGCTTTACAGCCACCATTTCATTATGCTTTCACGAACTTGACACCATTTTGCTGTGTTACATGAGACACCAGGATGATTGCACAAATCTGGCAGGGAATATTTAAGTCATACTCTGCTAGTTAAAATAAAAATAATGTGTCCAATATCACAGGAGAATTTGGGTATCATGCTAGATGGGAACTAGCCATCTAGAAATGAGATCATGTCACTAACAGTGCCGATCACCCTGTGGTTTGGAGTCTGGGTTTTCTCTACAAGACCCACATCTAGCCACCTGAATGCTGCATTGGAAGGGAGCTCAGATAAAATACCTCTTTGACCTTTTCTGGCTCTGAGATTTGGCCCTGGCTATTTTAAATTGATGTTCCTCTTGGTTTCCCGGTCCCTACATGAAATGTTAAAGTCTGTGGCTTAACAAGTGCCTTGTAAACAGGACAATGATCTCCCTTGGTTTATAATTACTTCCCCCACTTACAGACTTCTCCATCAATGTTACTACAAAGCACACGGCCCTCACTTTAGATCTTTCCTCCAGCCAGCCTCGTTGACTGCTAACCTATACTGGGTCTTTGTATTATATTGATCATTATCTGGATTGATGGCTTTCAAAAGCATTTCATTATCTATACATGAGCTATTAGCTTCCCCAATACTCATTTTCATAGTTATTTTCAAGATAGACAATAGGTCTCCTAAGAAGAAAAACTCTTCTATCATTTATCCTCTTCCAACAGCTCTTTTCATCTCTAAAAAAAAAAAAATGTAAGGAGGCTGTGCGTGGTGGCTCACGCCTATAATCCCAGCACTTTGGGATGCTGAGGTGGGCGGATCATGAGGTCAGGAGATCAAGACCATCCTGGCCAACATGGTGAAACCCCATCTCTACTAAAAATACAAAAAATTAGCCAGGTGTGGCAGCACGCTCCTGTAATCCCAGCTACTTGGGAGGCTGAGGCAGAAGAATTGCTTGAACCAGTGAGTCAGAGTTTGCAGTGAGCCAAGATCATGCCACTGCACTCCAGCCTGGGCGACAGAGCAAGACTCCTTCTGAAAAAAAAAAGAAATGAAAAGGAAAAGAAATTAAAAGTAATGTTAATTATCTGAAAAGTACCTATGATACACTGGGGTTTTGCTTTCATTGCCTGAAAATGCATTTCCTCAGACAAATGCTAACATGACTAAAGGGATGTCAATGTCCAGATGATCATATTGCAGCTGTCTGTGCTGGATGTGAGGATGGCTACACAATCCTTTGGTGTACGCTTTTGGTGCAGGGTGAGGGTCTCCATCTATCTGGGAATAAGATAAGAAAGAAACACTAATCTTACAGATGAGATAAAGCTTTATCTCTAGAAAGTAGCCATGTACCTGTGTCTGATGCCGTTTTGACAATTTTGGGGTATTTCTGAAATTTTACAAAATAATAACTCTCATATTCCATCAAAATAGTTTCAAGATCAACGTTGTCACAAACTTCAAAGCGTCGTAACCCCAGTTTAGTTTCTTGCTCCAAAGCATTTGCTGTATCGATATATCTGGCAGTTTCACAGAAGGAAAAGAAGAAAGTAACTCAGGTGAAAAGAATAATGGCTAACAGGCATTACAAGTCTAAAGGGATGTAATACAAAAAGTAAGCCTATATATAGCACATTAGATGAAAACTAGTACGTGCATATGAGGTTTGCCTATACAGAGCCCGACGGTTGTTAAGTATATTTAACTATTTCTTTCAGAGCAGTTGCCTTTGAAAGTTACATATTTATTCTTGTGACGTCACCATTGTTTAGGAAGTTTTTGGAAGTGCTTAAAAAGTTAAATAAGTAAATCAACCAAGAAATGTCTTGTGATTTGTCTTTACTCATTTGCAGCCTAAAATGGGAATTTCCCCAACTTGGTTACCTCTTTATTCATAGTTATTCATTTTAGGTAACATTTGGCAAAGTGATAAAACCCAAATTTAACCCAAATTTACCATCGCTGAGGTAATTCAAATGAACAGGTCGTGAGCACTGAAGGAAATTCCAAAGATCTACCAATCAAGATCATCAAAGAACTTTCATATAAGATAACTTCCACTTGGAATGTATTATTTGTTTCTGGTAATTTTTTAATCCGTCACACATTGCACTACAGGGTGTTTCTGTATAAAAGCAGAACCTTCGCCTTGGTTCCTCACTGTCATTTTTACCTTGTTCATTTGCAAAACCATCCAATTTAAGTAGCCTTAGCACAAGAAGCAAGGGCTTTGTCTCAAAATCCTGTGAAAGATGAAAGACTCTCCAGGTTTTAAATTTTAGTTCTTAACTTTTTTTAAAACCAACAATTTTCTCCTGAAAAGTGTGCACATGTGTAAATTAGTATATAATTTCAGGAGCTCATCCAAGGATCCCAGATTCAGCTCATCGAAGGACCCCAGATTCAGATTTCTGCTGCAGGTTAGAGTTCTTTCTGTTTCATTTGAATCTAGATCCAGGAAAGTAGAAAGAGATAACTTTCTTTTTTATTATGCCCTCTTTCTCTTTTTCTCTTTCTTTCTTTCAGACAAGGTCTCCTTATGTTGCCCAAGCTGGTCTCAAACTCCTGGCCTCAAGCGACTTCCTTCTTGGCCTCTCAAAGTGTTAGGATAACAGGTGTGAGCCACCATGCCTAGCATAAACTTTCTTAAAAGAGGTTGCCATGATTATTTTCAATGACCTTGAAATGTATCTATCTCTCCGAAGCTAATTTTAAAGAAGCTGCAAACAACAATCACTTGACTCTAGTCTATCAGCTCTATATTTTTTCATGTTTCACCATGCTTCTATCACTATGTCTTAATCCCCATTTTGCAGAGAGAAAAACTAAATCAGATTTTTATTAATAACTTTAGTATGGAGTAAATCATGTCCACTTAAGAAAAAAACTAGAAAATACTGGTAAATCAAAAGAAAATTCTGCCTCTCAGAGAAAATGACTAACATTTCCTCTGTCTTTACAAACTTTTTTTTAACCTTTTTTTTTTCTTTTTAGAGACAAGATCTTGTTCTGTCACCTAAGCTGGAGTGCAGTGGCACAATCTTGGCTCACTGCAGCCTTGAACTCCTGAGCTCATGCAATCCTCCCACCTCAGCCTTTTGAGTAGCTTGGACTACAGGTGTGCATCACCACGCCCAGCTATTTATTTTTTTGTAGAGACAGGGTCTTGCTATGCTGCCTAGGCTGGTCCCAAACTTCTGGTCTCAAGTGATTCTCCCTCTTTGGGCTCCTAAAGTGCTGAGATTATAGGCATGAGCCACTGCACTTGGCCCAAACTTTTAAAATGATTAAATACTTATACATATGCACTTTTAAAGCAAAAAGAGACCAGGCGCGGTGGCTCACGCCTATAATCCTAGCACTTTGGGAGGCCGAGGCCTGCGGATCACCTGAGGTCGGAAGTTCGAGACCAGTCTGACCAACATGGAGATTCCTCATCTCTACTAAAAATACAAAATTATCCAGGTGTGGTGGTGCATGCTTGTAATCACAGCTACTCAGGAGGCTGAGGCAGGACAATCGCTTGAACCTGGGAGGCGGAGGTTGCAGTGAGCCAATATTGAGGAGATTGCACCATTGCACTGTAACCTGGGCAACAAGAGTGAAATTCCATCTCAAAAAATAAAAAAAAAAGAGAGAGGGAGAGAAAGAAAGAAAAAGTGAGAGAAAGAGAGAAAGGAAGGATAGAAAGAAAAAAGATGGAAAATGGAAACATGCACCATAGATTGCGTGTAGCCTTTACTAACATAACATTATATTCTGAACTCTTTCCAAGATCATGGAGTCTTACCTAAAACAAAAATTACAAGAATAAATGACTGGAGGCCCCATGTTTCTTAAACTAATTGGCCAGAAGAACAAAACTGCTTCTGTGTTTTCCTGTTACACTGAGTTTGAATGAGGTTTGAATTCAATATGGTTGGCAGGAGGAGCCACTAGAGATTCTTAACCAACCGAGGGACAGGACGGGACTTTAGGAAGAGTACTTTTCAGTAAGTAGTGTGCAGCCGTGTGCAATAGTGGGCCATAATAACAAGACACAAGAGAGAGACGCAGAAGCTGTCTCTCTCTTGACATAACCCAAGCCCCAGAAGATGGCTATGGAGGACTATTAATAGAAGAACCGGTATCCACGACCCTCCATTGTCTGCTGCACCAATTCTCACACATTCAAACTCTGGTCTTCCTGTTTACTTAATTGTTCCACTTAGGCTGTGCCCCCTCTTCCTCTGGGCCTCTGCCAGGAATGGCCTTACCATCACATTGGTCTATTCATATTCTACACATCTTTCAAGTCCAGCTCAGTCACCCTCTCTACAAAGCTTTCCCTGATTGCTTATTTTAATCTAGTAATCTATCCTTTTTGCTGAATTTATTGAACTTCATTAAGGCAGATCTCTTTTACTGACATTCATATGTCCTTAAAAGCACCTATAGTTCACTTTCATTTTGATAATCCACTTATGTGTCCCTTTTCTAGCAGGTTTCCGGAAAACAAGTCTAGTAGAACTTTCATTGATTCGCAATACAAAGAGCCACCTCGTGGCAGAAAGGAAAAATGCATGCTTTGTAAGCAGACAGCAAACTCTTGGCCTTAACAACCACATATGACTTTTATTCGTCTTTTTGTTTTTACAGTTCTCTCTGTTACAATTTATGGAACACAAAATACATTGTAATAAAAAATCAGGGATTATTTGTGAAAATGGCTTTGTCTTACTTTCTAATTATTCTACCCATCTACATGCCAGTAAGTTCCTCAATGGCTATGCAAATAACATTTACTGAGCATCTAATACTATGTTCACAGTGCTGGGCCCTGGCATGGTGAGTTTAAGTTTTATAAGAGGCAACTAATCCAGAAAGGCAGTATTCTCAAGGTGGTCTGTGGAAAACTAGTCTCTAAAGATGGTTTAAGGAAAAAAAAAAAAAAAGGAGTTCCTTAGGCTAGGCATGGTGGCTCACGCCAGTAATCTCAGTACTCTGGAAGCCAAGGCGGGTGGATTGCTTGAGCCCAGAAATTCCAGACAAGTCTTGGCAATATGGCTAAATCTCATCTCTACCAAAAAACAAAACAAAACAAAAAGTAGCCACGGTGGCATGCACCTGCAGTTGAGCTAATTGGGAGGCCGAGGTAGGAGGATTGCGTGAGAGCACAAGTTCAAGACCAGCTAGGTCTACATAGTGAGATTCCATCTCTAACATAAATAAATAAATAAACGTGTGTGGTGGCACATGCCTGTAGTTTCAGCTACTCAGGAGTTTGAAGTGAGAGGATCACTTGAACCCAGGAATTTGAGGCTGCAGTGAGCCATGATCGGGCAACTGCACTCCAGCCTGGGCGATAGGCGAGACCCTGTCTCCAAAACAACAACAAGAACCTCAAAACCTCGGAAAAATCTTGGTCAAATTGGTTTGCAAGACCTTGAATACTGTGACTTTAGTGTGATATTTACATTGCACATAGTAAATTAGGTGGTCTGAGAAGTCCTGAAATAAGGGAACTTGTTTAGTTTAACCCAATATCTGCCAAGCTTACCTGACCACGAAACTCTTAAAGTAACTCCTGTTAACACTCTGATAACTACTGTTCCAAGTGTTGCACACACTTAGAAAAGTCAGGGTTCTTTGGATAGAGCTAGTATTCCATCAAAAGATAATGTAAAATGGGCCGAAGCCACATTCCAATTTCTTTAAGTCCTTTGCTGAACCAAGTTGGTTATTAAGAGAATAAAACCCAAATCCTATCAATAGTAGAAGTATAAGCGTAACTGTCAGGCACGATTCTAAGCAAGTTACATATTTAATCCTCTTAATAATGGCATCTACCTGATACTTAGCTATACCCCATTACTCCATTCTATAGACGAGGGAACTGAAGCATAAAGAGAATAAGTAACTTGTCCAAGATCACAGAATACCAAAAAGAAGAGTGGGCATCTGAAAGAAAATAGCCTGGCTCCTAAGTCTACCTGCATATCCTGGAAGCCCTCCCTATGACAACAAGCCCCACAGCCCTGTCTTAGAGTGGACACTTGGCGCTTTTTCATATGCTATCCTGGGGGTTACATTTATTAGGTGCCTGGTGAATACAGCAGAGCAGCCTACTGCCCACATGCAGAGTGTCTGGCTTGTCAATTTCAGAAATGCCCTTATAGTCCAGATGGAGAAACAGAGGCACCGAAAGGACCCAAGTCAGCCCTGCCCTGCTCCGAGGCTTGATTTCACCCCACTACTCTGTAGAGATACAGTGTTTGAGCCTACGCTGAGAAGTGACCGGTCTGTCTGCTAACCATGGGGGGTGCACACTCATCTCTCTAGTCTGGGAGTGGTGAGGCTATGGGAAGAATGAGCTGTTTTCTCAATAAAATGTATGTGTCTAACACCAAAAAGAGAAGTGTCTGATAAAATCATGTGTTTCAAGTTGAGGAAGAAATGCTTTTGTGTTTAATCTGTTGCAATTCATTGTATTTACCATAAGGAAATCATTCTCAAAATTCTGATACTAAAGTGTTATGAA